AAAGCTCTCGATTCTGAAACTGCATTCATAAATCGTTCACCCTTGCTATAGGAATATATCGTAACAGCGCACAAGGACCATAATAATAAGAGCAGGATTCATCTTCCTTGTCCGGAATTACTTCAATTCTTTTTAAATAAATCCCATGATTAAAACAAAATTTAGCTGAAGTATCAACAACCATAAATGGTATTAATCAATTATATGTTGACCAATAATCATACATTATATAAGCATTAACAATATTATAGAATGAATACCGAAAAATCCGGAATTTGAATCAACAGTCTTTCCATCGAGAATTTCATCGCCTATAACTAGACATGCCGATGTCTTTGGAAAAGGCCTATCTTGTAATTCTGAAATCGAAGTTGTAGGAAAAATACATTTTTCCTCTTTTTTCTTTTCAAACATTCTGCGTGAAGACCCATGAAACGCACGATTGAACCAACATCTTGAGACGAAGATACCAATCCGTCTGACTCGCTGTGCGAATAGAAAACTTAGTATTAATGATGTGCAGACGAATTAAACGAATTTAAGGCCTACATATGGTGAATTATTCAGCTGATGGAATTTCAGGATTGAAAAATGAAAGTAGGAATTCATAGATTTAGCTTGTAGTGATGCGTAGTATCCATATAAAATATATATCAGTATATTATAAGTTGATTATCTAGTTTCCGAAAATTCCCGACAGTTTCCCATGTGTTAATTGAGATGATCGATTTAATCGTCAAGAGTGCTCATCAAGAATTTGATGATCTGGGGGATAATGTACTATAAATTACCTAATAGAGTTTGGATCCGATTTTAGCTTAACTAACTAATCCGGAAAGCCAATCAAAATGGCAGGAGTTGTATCACATCTTATAATGGTTATTTTTTTCATAATGAATATAGGCCTAGATGGGTTTTTGCAGGATGTAAGGTATCCGTATCTGCATGACAAAGTTGTCAAAATTTGAACATTATCTAATTTTAAATTTATAATCACAATTTCTATATTTATAGATTTTTATAAACCAAATAATTTTGCTATAAAATTCTTTTTTCGAACTAAAAAAAAATTTTTTTGCGCTGTTTTTGTAATTGATAATAAATATATATATATAATTAAAAATATCGATGCGTTTGGATCGAAGAGATTCAATACTATAAGGCTATCTAGCTTCTGTGTCTATCAAATATCCGAAAAAGCAGCAGTTTGTGAAAATCCATCCTTTTTTCTTCATATTTTGAATTCGAATTTGGATCTGATTTAAAGGATATTATAGTTTACTGTTATCGTTATTAGTTATCGATATTCAGCGTACAATATAATGACGACATAAAGATGGGTGCACAATTTTCAGATAACCCTAAACTCGGTTACCTAATTCTGGATTACATTGTACGGTTTAATTATACATATTTATCTGTTTCATTGTTACACTGCGATTTGAACATCTACAACGTGAGTAAGATAAACATTTCATATGAATGTATGTACAATATGACCTTTTTTTGGATCAATGTGTATTAGTAATCTCACTCAAGTAGCCAATAAGATAATGCGCTGATGATCTAAAAAATTTTTTAAATTGTGCAATACAAACAGCAAATTTCGAATAAGGAGAAAGAAGTTTATCAAATTTACCTCCAAAAAAAAAAAAAAGCTACTTCCCAAAAAAAAAAAAAAATGAGTAAAAACTCCACGCAGCCTAGTTCTTTAATAATCGGATGGAGATTGCAAAGTCACCATGTGCTTATCATTGGCGGTAACAGAATTGCTGCAAACCGTATCGAGTTTGTCTTGGACGCTAAGCCTCGAAAGATAACGCTCATAACCCCAAAATCAAAGATCTCCGATAAAGTTAAAGAATATATTGGAAAACATTCCATTATACACAAGGATGGAGAATTTCATGTAGACTATCTGACAAAAACAGATGACCCCATCGATCTTATTTTCTCCGCTGTTGATGACGTACAATTATCAAATAAAATTGCGATTGCCGCCCGTGAACGAAAAATTCCTATAAATGTTGCAGAAATACCGCAATTATGTGATTTTTGGCTTATGCCAACTTATCGAGATGGCCACCTTCAAGTTGCGATTTCGACTAATGGTACCGGTCCTCATGTTGCGCGTAAACTTAGGCAACACATTATTGAAAATTTGCCAAACACCACAAAAGACGCTATTGGCAATGTAATACTTCTCAAACAAAATCTTGGCACTGCAAACATGTCTGTCCTTACCAAGTTAACTAGTTCGTTATCCCTCGATGAACTTGCAAAACTTACACAAAAAGATATTAAAAAATTAACTTCTGAATATGCAAGTATTGAAGTGGATAAGTCTGAAGTGTCATCAACGTCCTCTACAATTATTGAAGACTTGGCTATTGTTTTCAAATCAAAAATCGTTGATAATTACCCTTTGTTCTCTGCCGGTGGTGCTAAATTTGTTGACAATAAAACTGCAATAGCACACGTAGCCTACGCTTTAAGTGATACTATTTTTATTTATCCAACAACGCATTCTAATTATTCTGGTGAACAGACTTTATATTGGTCTACACAGAATATGGAAAATGCTTTTGGAAAAGTGTGCAATGTTATTAAAATGGATACGCGTTCTGGTGCTTCATTAGCAATTTTGGGTGCTGCATCATTTGCGTATTCTGGGAAGCTTGTAGCTTTTGCATCGTCACAATCCATTGTTTCAATGTTACCGAATTTATACACTATCTCTAAAGAAAGAATACCATTAACAATCCATGTATCCGCTCATGGATTCAATGATAAAATGCATAATATCGCTAATTATTATGACGCGTTAATGGCACGTGACACTGGTTTTGGAATCATAAACTCTTATTCCACACAAGAAACGCATGATATCGCATTAATTACACATTTAATTTCTGCCTCGACAAAAACGCCATTCTTACATATATTTGATGGTGTTAAGGCTGCTTGTGGAAATTCCTTATTAAACCTCATTCCTTATGCCGAAATGCTTAAATTAAATAAAGAAATATCAAATCCATCAAATGGTCCACCATCAGCAAAAACTTTAATAATTGTGGATAAAATCGAAAGTATTATAAATAGGGTCGGAAAGCTTGTCGGACGTCAATATCGTGCATTTGAATATGTTGGATCTCGTGATGCCAGCACATTATTAGTTTCCTGTGGTGGAGAAACTGCCATCGTTAAAGAGATAGTGAAACATCTTAGTGATAATGGTAAAAAAGTTGGAGTTATCATCGTCAGACTGTATCGACCATGGTCCGAAAAACATTTTCTAGCAATGATACCCAAGACAGTTAAAAAAGTTGCCGTATTAGAGCAAGTCGCCTTAAATTCTGATGGTTCGCATGATATGGGTTTATCATTGTTCAATGACGTTGTGGCTTCAATGATTGATTCATGGACTGGTCGTATGCCTCAATTAATAGACGCAAAATATCCTATGTCCAAACAATTCACACCTTCTACTGTTAATACGCTTTTGCAGCAATTAGAATCAGGAGTAAATATTGATTTTAATATTGATCCTTCATCAGATAATTTTCAGATTCAATCAACATTAAATAATGTAAAACGATGTGTATTTTGGGATGCCGAGTCTAAAGGAACTTTATCATCCAACCAACATATTGCAAATGTATTCACTCGTCATTCTCATTTAAAAGTCTCTAGTCTCTCTACTTTTGATGCATATAACAATGGTGGTGTCACTACTACCAGTTTCTTATTTGGGAACGAACTTACAGATATATTACATGACCTTAAAGTTGATGCAGAGTATATCTCAATCCATGATGCCACATTAATTGGCAAATACGATCTTTTGGCACCCGCTAAAGAAGGTGCTATCGTTCTCCTTAATACCAATTGGACCACAGATGATTTAGAAACTAAGCTACCAATTGATTTCAGATATGAAGCTTTTCAGCGTAAGATTAAACTATATTTAATTGATGCGAATAAAGTAGTTCGGGATTTAGGCTTGAATGCTGATGACCATATCAGTTTGATATTACAAATAGCATTTTTAAAGTTGACTATTAACGAAGCTAAATTTGACTGTGATTTGGAAGATGCCCTTTCAGAGCTTTATGATGGCAATAATGAAAAAGAACTTGGTCTTATTCTTAATTCAGCTGTTCAAGAAACCGATAAAACACTTACTTTTGTTGATCCTCCTCCAGCATGGCAAATTTTAGAAAAGTCTGATCATACCTTACCCTCTTTTGTTGACAATAATTCTTTCGGAAAATCAATTGATCTTCAGTTAAATGTTAAACCTAAACTTGGATCTTGGCATAATGCCGTTCATAATTTATTATTTAAGGAGGCTTTTGGTTTCAATAATATCCAACGACCTGACATGGCGGAAAAAACTTTTGTTATTACTGTTTCTGAAAACCGTCGACTTACACCTACATCATATGATCGTTACCTATTTCATATTGAGTTTGATACAACTGGAACTGACTTAAAATATGATTTGGGTGAAGCTTTGGGTGTATATGGTCATAATGATCCTAAAGAAGTTGAAGAATTCTTGGAATATTATGGATTAAATTCTAATGATCTTATTTCAATACCTAACAGAGAAGGTGATAAATTTGAAACAAAAACAATACACCAAGTCTTTGTTCAAATTCTTGATATATTTGGTCGACCTGCTAAACGTTTTTATGAATCTTTGGCTCTTTATGCTACTGATGAGAATGAAAAGAAACGATTATTATGGATTGCTAGTAGTGAAGGTTCTGCTGAATTTAAACGTCGTGTTGCAGATACAATCACTTACGCTGAATTATTATACGAATTCTCATCTGCTCGTCCACCTGTTGAAGACTTGGTTCAAATGATTGCACCTATTAAACCACGTCATTATTCAATTGCATCCGCACAAAGTGTACACCCAAATAGTGTACATTTATTAGTAGTTACTGTTGATTGGGTAACATCTACTGGTAAAAAACGATTCGGTCAGTGTACACGATATCTTTCTGGTCTAAAAGTTGGTACTCGCGTTGTAGTTTCAATAAAACCGTCAGTAATGAAACTTCCACCACGAGATACTCAACCTGTTATCATGGCAGGTTTGGGTACTGGAATGGCACCATTCCGAGCATTCATTGAGGAACGTGCTTATCGAAAATCACAAGGTATAGAGGTTGGTCCTATGATTCTTTATTTTGGATCTCGTAATCGATCTATGGAATACTTGTACGGTGAAGAATTAGAAGCTTATCACGCAGAAGGATTACTCACACATCTCCGACTGGCATTTTCTCGTGATCAACCACATAAAGTGTACATTCAACATAAGAGGGTAAGGTATGATCAGACTTTTCTAAAA